GGGGGTCTAGTCTTCAATCTAGTTATGGATACACGAGTCTTGCTTTGCCTTTTTTTGGCAGACGCCGCAGTTTTTATTTTGTAATGTTTTCGGTCTTGTGAGAGTCGGCCATAAAAATTACTTTTATATCAGATGAAGCAGCAGAAGGCTTGTACAGGTTTTACTGTATTATACTTATTTGGTTTAGAGTGGAACGTTCATTGAATCACTGATGTTTGATTTTTATTTTTGGAGCGGACGTGTCAAATAAACTTTTTCTAGAGCTGACTAAAATCATTCGTCTTCTTTGTGGGTTTGTTTTCGGATCATCACACCAGTGTGATAGCTGCGTCTACGTCCATAAATAGACGCAGTTGGGGTGCAGGTGTCCCTGTTTCTACTTCTTTTCTGATCATGACCAGCAGTCATCGCAGCGTGACTCCTACAGGCTTGTAGAAATGCATGTCGCCACCAGAGGATAATAAGGTCTTGTATTGTTTCTTGTACCACTCCCCCATTACAAAAGACAGAAAACTATACAGACTTTGCATCCTTCACTGAGGCTCTGGGCAACACGTTTTGCCTTTTGGATTTCATCAGGAGCCTCAGACAAGTGTGATTCCTAAAGTGATATTAAAGGAGAACTATGGGGTCAGGGCTTTTCCCCATAGTTCTCCTTAGGGTAACGGGAGGACACAAACTAGCATCCTCCTGTTACCCAAAGCTCAGTATATAGGGAGCTACAGCTCGCGGCATACTGAGACGCTGAAGCAGATCCTGACAATTATGTCTGGATCCGCCCAGCTGCGTGAGTGACAACTGGCTCTGCCTATCTAGAGGCAGAGCCAGCTGTACCCTCCCCCGTTCCGCCAGTCAGTGCTGGAGGGGAGGGGAGAATCCAGTCACTCCCCTGTCACGGCTCTCTGTGTTTGCTCACTTCCCAATCTACTGAGCCGACCTGTGACAGTTTCATTGTCACAGGTCATCTCGGATTATGAGGCTGAGGGTTCCTGCAGAATCAGCTGGTCACCTGAGCACTGATCCTGATTTAGGGTGACTCCTTTCCCGTGAGGGGTCCTATGGAGCCACCCTTGTGTGAGCTGTGTGTGTCTCGACAGCAAGGAGAGCCTCTTCCCTCCCCCTGTACCCAGCTTCTACCTTTTCCAAGCTAGTAGATGGGACAGCTAGTCTTGGCCATGGCTGCGGCCTGACCTCCACATTGACCCCGCTTTTCTAAATGAATTGGGATTGTTTTTTTTTTTTTGCGAGGGGATTTTCATTTGAACTTAATTTTGTAGAGAATATCTAATCGCATATGAGAAGGTTCTCATTTATCTAGGTCATGGTACATAATCCCATCCTTGGTGGTAATCCTTGGATTCATTCAGCTAAAGATGTGATTTGAAGACCGTTCACACCTTCAGTCATGTGCATCGGATGATTAGCACATGCGCAGACTCCATGACATCAAAGGTGTGATTATGTAACTGCAGATGACTCTAGGACTTAGCCTGTGATTGGGTGTAATGTGTCAGAGGGGGCGGGACGTCAGTGACGTGCAACCTTCAGTAAACTATTCCAGTGAAGCCAATGTGCGGCCAGCTTGTCTTCTGTTTGTATGGACTCATAGTAGAGCGAGGGTGAGCTCCCGGCGGCAAACACCCAGCTCATTCCTTCCCTGAGCCCTGGAGGAGCAGGGCTCCTTTTGTGTGTTCTGTTTAGAACGGGGTTGACACACACACGCCCACACTCACTCTCTTCCTGACACTCATTGGCAATGGAGAAGTGGCTTAGATGAGAGGTAAGCTATGAACGTCTTCAACATTACAGAACAAGTCAATTTGAGAGTTTCCAACTCCCACTATCTACAGCCAATCATGTGAGGGAGAGAAACAAACAGGATTTTTGCTTGGCCATGATTGAAGTATTGAAGTCCGCACATTCCCTCCCCCCAAAATCACTTAGCTAAGTGAACATGCTCTACTCCTGTAATACATTGGGGCCATTGTCTTCTGCATTAGCGGGTTCAAATAAAGGAGCTCCATAAGTTAAAGTGATTTTTTAACATAAACCAATACTGTAATGTGCGCCTTACTGTAATCTATGGTTGTTTCCCTTCTCTTTGCTGCTCTTCCTTTTAAATCCTCATGCTGGGGGAGAACTTCCCTTTGCAGCTGAGTGCCTCTTCCTGTAGTGCTGGCTCAGGTTGTGAACCTGCACACAGACACCATGTATCCATTTCAGAGACAAGGCAGTCTGCTGCAAAACAAGTTCTGCCCAGCATGAGAAGAGAGAAGGATTTAAAAGGAAGAGCAGCAAAGAGAAGGGAAACAACCATGGATTACAGTAAGGCGCACATTACAGTATTGTTTTATGTTAAAAAATCTGAGGGTTTAATGTCACTTTAAGGAAAGCTGCACTGAGACTTAAGTAGGCTACTATGGCTGACCTCTTCTGAAAATGGCTCCATGTCTGCAAATAAACGCATTGGTTCCTGATACTGCATTTCTGATTCTGTATTTCCTCTGCTCCATCTAGTGGCCATAATGCAGCATTATATTCAACCTGAAAAGAAAATATGAGACGCAGATCATTTGTTTTTGCCTCCATTCACACAGAATTCATGTTCACAGAGATTTGCAGGGGGAAAGTCTCAGTTAATTGATTTGCTTTATGGCCACTAGATGGAGCTGAGGAGCATAGGGAATAAATACTTGTAATGTACTACTGCTTTATGGCCACTAGATGGAGCTGAGGAGCATAGGGAATAAATACTTGTAATGTACTACTGCTTTATGGCCACTAGATGGAGCTGAGGAGCATAGGGAATAAATACTTGTAATGTACTACTGCTTTATGGCCCCTAGATGGAGCTGAGGAGCATAGGGAATAAATACTTGTAATGTACTACTGCTTTATGGCCACTAGATGGAGCTGAGGAGCACAGGAAGTAAATCCTTGTAATGTACTACTGCTTTATGTCCACTAGGTGGAGCATAGGAAATATTTCTTTCCTATGTTCCTCAGCTCCGTCTATTGGCCGTAATGTGGTGTTTTTCTGATATTCCATTCAACCTGACAAGAAAATATACTAAGATCATTTGTTTTTGCCTCTATTCACACAGAATGAATGTTCACAGAGATTTGCAGGGGGAAAGGCTCAGTGAATCGATTGTAAATACACCCCATACTGTAGGTCTATATCTGGGTTAGGTCAAACCAGTTTATTTCCGGGTTGCTAAAAGACACTGAATAATACAAACAAGTAGAACACACAAAGGCTAGGCATAGTGTACAGGATTGTAGCTGAACTTTGGACCCCAGCGCTGCAAGGCAAGCATGCTAC